TGGGAGTTCTCAACTTCGGCTCACTTCGGGTCCACAAACCTAGCACTTGGAGTTTTGTTTTGATCCGCCCGGAACTGGTTGAAGTGTTTTTTGATCCTCGAATATATTAGATATAAAAAAAGATGAAGGCAATTAATTTTATTTTTCAATTTCCCAAAATAGTGAGTAAAAATATAAGCTAGCGGAATAGTAAAGAAGGTGTATGTGTGGTAAACGTTTCACTACTTGATCCTTTGCCCTCTGTCGCTGCCTCAGCTGTTACGTCTGTGCCACATTGTGTGACAATTTATTGCGCTTCTTAGTAATTATGTTATTTTCGTTACCCCCTGCCACTGGTGCCAATACTGGCACTTTTGTACTTTGTACGTAAAAAGAAAATTTGGTTTATTTTTTAATTAAATTTTGTTTGTTTATTTTATGATTGGAAAACTGTATACACATCCGCTGATTAAACTTAACTTACCGAAAATGAGCAGTGCACATATGTTATGGCTGTGCCTTTAAAGGCAAATCAAGTTGTAAATATGGAAAATATTCGTACAGGTATGCAAAATAAATGCCAAAAACCATAGTGCAATGAATGTTGAAGGTACAACATATATTAAAATAAGGTGAGCATTCTTGGTTTCTTTTTCTTCCCTTTGAATAGAAATATACGAAATGAGCCCTGGACACGCTTTCGGAATGTGAAAGTGTGGGAAAAATTTACTAAAATCTTTGATGGAGAAAGGAGGCAGTGGAACTGCAATAGACTGCATGCTTCATTTCAAACTTTTTGATATCCTTACAGAGGCTACTCCGAATTCAATGCAGAGGAGGAAGCATTCACACCGACCGGTCGAAATATTTTATTGCTTGTGAAGACCCAAAAAGCTTTTTCTAAATATTTTGTATACTAGCCACTAGCTTAGCCAAAAAGCAACAAAATTAACTTATGCCTTGGCTGCCATAGGAACGATCGAACTTTCAGGGTATCTAAGCTAGTCTGTATTCCATATTTTCATGTCTGTTTGCATCTGCAACTGCTTCTTTCACTCCCACTCCTCCTGCCCGCTGTCTGTGGCACTCTGCCACCCACACCCGCACTTCCACCGCCCTCTGACTGCCACTGTGCTGTGGAGAGCTGTCCCTCTCTGACAGCCTCGTGTGCATATTTGAATACCAACATGGCTCATATTCAACTAATTAGGCGAGTTTTGCAAATACATTTTCATTATTGTAATTTCTACTGGAACGGCACGGAGGGCTGCCAAAGAAATGAGTGCAAAAAACTAGGCAACATGCTGGCAAAAGTTTCCCATATGTTTGGACAGGGACACGGATGGGGCTGGGACTTGGGGGGTGGGGTGTCGGGTGTGGGAAGTGGTGGGAGTGGAGCGGTAACAGACACCGACACATGTAGGCCGAGGCATTTGCATATGCATGTTGCACATCCATACGGAGCAGCAGCAGCAAAAATTCCTGTAGGTAAAATTTAAAAAGCAGCCGCACGAGAAAAAAATAAAGGAGATATTTATAATTATTCATGACCGAAACCTTACACACCCTCGCAGATAAGCTATAAAAAGAATCACAGCCACATAGATCGGATATCTTTAGGAACACAAGAGTTTTTCCCCCAATCATTTCAAGGACAGTCATATGATATTGTTATCTGATTCAGAGTCAGATTAAGATTCGACTGTTGCTGTTGATCAAGAATCAGTAAACTTTTGGCATTGGAGATGGTTCTTTATATAAGTGAAAATTATATTACCTTCTCCAAGGGTACAAAAAATGCCAAATCAAAATAGCAAAGAGCTCACGTCACAGATATAGACAAAGACACGGACAGAGAAGGCACTGGAAGGCTGTGGGTTATAGTGGGGTTTTGCGGCTGTGGCTTGTGGGGTAGACAGCGGTGCGGCGGTGGTAGCGGCTTCACACTGAAATTGGCAAAGGATATCTGAAAAAGGGAAAGATATACCAAAGGAGAGAATGCATTGAATATGGCCTTGTCATACGAGAATCTAACCATATAAAGCATACTCTTGCTCCGATCTAAACTTCTCCTCATTGCTCCTCAGTTTATTCTTCGGCAACCGGCGACAGACAGGCGTACATACAAGTGAATAGGGAAAAAGAGAAGGTCAGAGTATGCAAATACAAAATAGTACATGCCGTGCGTGGACGCAAATGTGTGAGCACTCTCGAGTCCCCTGCCTGAATGGCTCTGGAGCCAAAGCGGACTTTGCAACCGATGCTCGGGCACGAGAATGCAAAAACAAAACACATGCAGTGTGCGTGAACAAGATTGATCGATGTTCGCTGATAATGTTTATTTTGTTTTCAAAAAGTGTGCCCAATGATTGTCTAGACTTCAGTTTCTCCAAGAAAACTCTACGCTGATAGCGCCTTATGTCATATTATTTCAAAGAGTCTACATACCATAATATTGACTATGGTTTTGAAATAGGTTTTGGAATCATCTCTTATGATTATACATGTTAGATTATGAAGACATTGCTAGATATCCAAAGATTATTTGCGCTGCTCCAGAGTTTTTTTTTGGTCCCAGAGATCTGTGCGGCACTTGAAGACACCTCACCGTCCGATCTGATATCTAATCCAGTGCAGCAGAGTCCTGCTGCCCTCGGCTATCCCTTTCCAGCTATCTGGCTGTCTTTTTTGTTTCGTTTCGTTGCTTCCCTTCTGTTTTTTGCCTTTGTGCGACCGCCTAAGCTCAAAACCATTAACACTTGTTTCTGTCATTGTACATGAAAAGCGGAAGCGCTTTTGTTTCTGTGCAACAAACAAGTTTCCTTTCGACTGCCAACTGGAAAGTGCCCCTAGCCTATTCCAAGTCCTTCCACAGCCCCAGTCCCGCATGCGGGAGGAGTTTCGCTTTTCTTTTTTTGACATGGGTATCCGTATCCTAGATTCATTCGCAGTCATGGGTCTGCTGCCAGCTCTGTTGCTCTGTGCTGTGTGCTGCATTCTGGCATTCTGGTACTCGCATAGGACAAGGGAATTATATTTTTGTAGATGTATGGAGACCTCCTATAAAGTGGGTGCTATAAAATTACGACCAAAATAATGATCATTAGATTCTTAGATGCACAAGGCTATATGTACTATAAGGGCATTTTATTGTCGTTATTGGACAAGATCATGATAAATTATTTTTCATTTAGATGTGGCGGTAGGAAGGCTGTACAGGGGATTAAGACAAGACTGTTAAATACTTATGTGTACATTATAACTCGTCACGACGCGTCTGACCTGGGAGGGTAGAATGGCTATAGTTCTGGGCTTGGCATGTCAGCCAACTGGATGAGGGTTCCTCCTCCTCATCCCTGACCACGTCCTCGTCCTCGTCCTCGTCCTGGGCAAGCAACTTTTTTCCCTGCCCGTCAACGTCAAGGCGTGGCTTTAAAGCTCGAGCTTCCTGCCTGGCTGGTATGGTATGGTCTGGCCTGTTGGTGACTGTACTTTGCCTTCAGCAGAAGGTGTTCGAGGAAAAGTTCCTTAGTTGTTCATGTTTAGCTTTTGCCAGCTGATGCTCATGTGATGGATGAGTCTCATGGCACTTAGGATTTTGTTTCATATGCTGCCTAGAAGTCAGGCTCAAGCTGTTAAGATCTTTGAGTAGTTATGACCTTTTGCTGACAGTTTTAAAGAAAACCGTATGCATATTTTATTCATGGAATTTCCATTTTACTATGCTTAAATATATTGTATGAAAAAATGCCCAAGTTTTGTATATGTTTCAATGGATCGCCCATTATCTTTTGGAGACCCGCCACCAAGGGTAAAACATGTGCCACAGGTTTTTGAACCAGTTGGTCTACGAAATGGATTTATATATTTATCACAAAGTCCTTCCATTTATCTATCCCTCTCCCTCTTTTGAGCATAGCCGAAAAGTCCATTATCGAAATCGAAGGGAATTTGTGTTGGTCAGTTCATCGAAGATGCGGCCATGATGCCGTCGCATAAGGATGCGGCTGAGATGCTGGGTGGGACAATGGGAGCATAGGGGGTGGATGCCAATACCAATGCCTATGATGATGATGACTGAGCTTGCATAAACGAGTTGGCCCTTAAGTGGAGCAGGAGCAGGAGCTACGATGGTAGAGTGATAAAAAGAGCGGGAGAGGGAGGATTTTGTGCGTGAGCAGCATTTTCGATGTGCCACATCGTACATCACATCGACCCAGCAGTCCCAAGTTATTTATGCAGACTCACATACAAAGCATGCAAAGATTTTGCATTGCTCCACCAGCTCCTCCTGCCCCTGAGCCGGGGAGCGGATGTTCGGGCTGCTTTGGGCTCTGTGCCAGGATTGAAAGTAGCATCTGCCGGCGATGTCCGCATACAATTAGCTGCAACTGTAATTAAAACAATTGTATAATAAATCTCTTGCCAAATGGCTGACGGCGCAACCTCCGCAGGGAAGATCTCCCAGCAGGTATCCCAAAAAGGAAGAGCCAGGGCGCGGCCATGTGCCAAGGAAAAATGGCGAAAATTAATATAAATTTAATAGTTGGCCTGGCATTTATGGTGGGTATAAAACGAACGTCGTTAAATGCATTCAAATGGATAATATACAACTCAGTGGAGGACCCAGTTGATACCCTGGAGTGTGAGTTTGAAAATGAAATAAATTGAATTCTTTTTTTTTGGTCTTAAATTTTCGGGATAATCCTTCGGTTTTGGCGAAACAAAGCACAAATGGGATGCCATTTAATGGATTTTTTGTGATCAATGTGATCAGCCTCATCCACCCTTTTGGTATCCTGCAGAAATGCTCCCTATTTCGTATTTTTAAATGAACGTTAAATCTTCCACACTTGGCCGCCAGTCAAAAGACAATTGAAATGCCACAATAGTCTTATCCCAGTCTAGTTTTCCTACATTTTGTTTTCTGGCTCTGATCCAGATACCGAACGCCAGACACCCTCTAGTCTCCTGTCGTTTCGGCATATATTGGAGACCTGGAATACAATAAAAATACCTTTCGAGAAGCCAAATCGAACGAGAAAAATAAAGTTAGTGCAGGATGAACAGTAAAGCCAAACTGAGTCTGAGAATTGAGAAGAGTCGTCGTCCCATCTCGGAGATCGCACAAGAGCTGAGACGTCTGAAGGCGTCGCCCTTGCGCATTGATGACGAGAAGGAGTTGCCAAAGCCATCAGTGAGCGACAGGCCAGTGAAGAGACTGGACCAGCTGGAGCCGCTGAGACTGACCCGGCACCGCATCACCCAGCTGCTGGTGCGTCCGGCCTTTGAGCAGGCGGTGACCAGCTGCTTTGTGCGCGTCAACGTCAACGGGCAGGGCGAGCAGCCAGAGTACCGCATAGCTGAGATCGTGGGCGTCGAGGAGCTGGGGCTTGGCTACTTTGTTGATGGGATACCCACCAATATCACGCTGCGACTGCGGTACAATTCTGTGGCTATGCTCCACGAGCTGAATGACATTTCCAACATGGCCTTCAGCCTCCCGGAGTTCCAGCTGTGGTACGACTGTTGCGTCAACCAGGGAATCAGTCCACCCACCAACAGCCTCATTGCACGCAAGAAAATCGAGTTATATAATGCCCTCCAAAGCGAAGCCAAGGCCCTGGCCGTCATCAAGCAAACCTGCACTCTGAACATGCGACCCGCTCACCGGGGTGGCATCCTCGAGCGTCACGGCGCCACCTATCCCTGGCGCTTGCAACATCCAAGAGAGGCAACACTTTCCACTCCCAAGCCGCCGTCGAATCAGGATGAGGAACTAAACCTGGAGTCGGAGTCGGATGAGTCTGCTTAGCCTGGCTTGGAAAGACCTTAAGAGACTCTGATGCAAACTCGACTCTACAGTAGACATATCCCAACCGCACCTACTGTTCAAATTTGCCTTATCTTTATTAGTTTATAAATTAACAAATATTTCGGCATCGTTTCGAAAAAAATCATTTCAGAGAACATTGAGAACTTACCCCATACCACCCCAACTAAGTCTTCAAGAAGTTGTTCAATGAATTTGCCTGATGCACGCAGCACGTTGTTTTCGGGTAGAAACTGTACAAGTAGAGTGATTTGTATTAGATACATAGAATACAAAATATTTCAGCTGTTTACACGATCAATTAAACCGTCATCTAATTGTTTTTCTTTCCAGCTAGGGTAAGGTTGGGCTCCCAATCGGATAATAAGTAATCGCATAATCAATCGCACATCCCTTCGAGACACAAAGAAAATATCCACCAAATTGACGAGACAATGAGTGAGTAGGATAACAACCATCTGGCTAAGACTAACTATTGAGTAAGATATCGTTAATTAAAAACTATTAGGTAAATTATTAAACTGTAGTTAATACAATTTTAATTGATTATAGAACCCACTCTGATATTTGATAAAGACGTCGATATAAATTCTATATAGATAGATCATCAGAATGATGTTGTGATAAGCTGTGGTTCTGTTCTATCTATCTTCTTGCAATGACTACACCATCAAGCCCAACGACACCAAGCCAATGCCTGTTAAGCGCGGATCCCAGGCAGAAACTTGGGCGATGAATAGCCAGTTCGTGTCAAGTTTTTGAGAGAAGACCATATAAGGAACACTGTTACAAAGTTTTACCCAATCCATCATACTATGGAACACTTAAAATCCTATACTTCGGATGTACCATCAGCGATATTTGACAACACAGTAGTAAACAAAACACCTTGTGTGCGATTAGACAGATATGACGAAATGCAGTATAGAAGATTTTATTTGGGAAACCTTATAAGTACAGAGTATGCTTCACAGAATTAAATGCTTTGCTAAAATCTGTAAAAATTACGTCCGTTTGCAAACAGCCTTGAAAGCCTTGGTTGATATATTAGAGAATTCGAGAAGGAAAGTCGTTTAAGAAATGAGTGTTGCGACGGAAATATCAGAGTACGGCATACATGTTGCACATGCAAGTGACTAGATTGGTAGTTTGCAATGTTAAATCTTGAATATTTTTTGTGAAGCGGAATCATGTGGGATTCGTTCCAAATACCTGGGAGACAAGGTTGCAAATACCGTTGCAAAGATAGGTTAAAAAATAGGTCAAGGATTGGCAAAAGGATATGTCAATCGACGACAAACCTTCTAGAACAACGCTCCTCAAGGAACGGTAAAAAAATTCTGTAAGCATGAGGTAGATGCTAGGGATATGGAGTCGATGCGTTGCATATATATAAAACGAGTACGATGATGGGAAGACGGTGGCGAATAATTTTGAAATGCCAGCAGCAGGAAATTCCGTTTTATTCTGATAATGAAGGGATGGAGGAAATGCATTCGACATACGCTTAGAGTTAACGAACGAAAAAAAATTGTTCGGATCTCTACGGAAATGTATATTACAGTGGGAAGGATATTGATTATAGCACAGAGTATTTACGGTGCGTAGACAGACTTGGAGCTAGATTTCTGTTACCTTTAATAGAGCCTGGTTCTCTTGTTCTTTAAGAAGGACAAATTTTTCGTCTAGTTTTTAAAAGACCCCTGCTGGCGGGGCAAGCGCACTGAGACGACAAGGAAATGAGCTGTGGATCGAAGTGGACCCAAAGCACAGGAAGTGGCAACGAAATATCGTCAATAAGGTCAAAGAAAATACAGAAATTCAATGAAATGCAATTAACCAGCTCAGCGAGCGAGACACTCACCAAAGGGGGTGTCGTTTGGGAGGGGGAAGAAGTATATGCGAGAGGTCAGGAGAACGAGGAGTGGGAGGAAAGTAAGTTGGGTCAGGACTCGCGGAAATGAGGTTCTTTTAGCGGAGGACTCTTGGCCCCTGAGCCAAGAACAAGGAACCACGCTGCTGTTGGGCAATTAGGGAATGCAAAAATTAGCTGGATGGGAATAGGAGTGTTGGAAAGGGGGGTGGAAAGTAGGTGAAAAGTAGGTGAAAAGTGGGTGGAGTTCTCTCCCACATCCTGCCTTTCCCACAAAACACTAACCACCACACCACACCACATCCCAACGCCCAGACCCAACGCGCACCCAATTGGATGGGATTGCCGTTGGCGCATCTTTGCGCTGCTTCCTCGATTCCTTGGCCATGCAAATGAGTTGGATTTATGCGTCCCGGTTACCACCAGCACCGCCCGCTAACCTCCCTGCTTTTCCTGCTGCTCCCGCTGCTCCTTCAGGTGCTCCTTCCGGGCATATTCGATGCACATCGATTGATTTCGCATCAACGCAAAATGCGAAACGGATTATTAAACTTGCCACTGGCCAGGTGTGTGCACAGCGGCAGAAGCAGAAGCTAAAGGGAATGGCAGTGGCAGTGGCACCGGCACCGGCACCGGGTGAAACTGGAAGACAATTTTGCAGCTGCTGCAATTTTCGATAAATTCTTGGCTTAAAAGATGCGCAGCGGTTGGCTGGCGAGGGGCAGGAAATGGATTGGGGACGGGTCGGTACGGGATGGGATGCAGCAGATATTTCATTCATTTCCATAATTTTAATAAAATTGAAGAAAAATATTCAAGGCACTGCCACAGAAGCAGTAGCAGTAGCAGTAGTAGCAGCCACACGACGAAGGCGAAGACTACGATGACGATGACGGCGAAATGAAAAGCGGAAAATGTGAAAACGCAAAATATGCGGCAATGTAATGCCGTTGCCGTCACTTCAACAGTAGAAAAGAACCACAAAAATTTTGATAGAAATGTGCTCGATCACCTTCGTTCTCAAGAATTCTGTGCTGACCAAAGATGATGGAAAGCACCTTCGAATCTACCGCAAATAACAATATTTTTATTTGTAGATATTTTAAAAAATTTTTAGCCACTGTGCTTCGAACTGCTGCTGGCATTTTCATCGTCTTCATTCCAATTCTGTTTTTCTTTACTTTATTTTCTTTCGGTACCTGGCCCCGTTCGGTTTTGTTTTCATTTTGGATGCTATACATGTGCCGCTATTTACCCCTTCTCCATCATCTATGGTATCTCCAAGCTATACGTGGGGGGGATGTGGAGGGAGCCGGGTGGTGTCTGTCAGGGCTGGAGCGAGACAGCTATGTGATGGAGGCCATGTCAAACAAATGACATAATTCAGTTGCTGGCAAAGTTTTTGACTGATGCCATAACATACGACCCTGCACCGACCCCTTCCCCTTCCCCTACCACCTACCCATTCCAGCACAGAGCATCTTTGGCTTCTTGGCCAAAGTTCATCGTTGAGTCCTGATTCTCGTTGATTGCCGACCATCTTGCCAGAACCATCTTAGTCCAGGTACCATCCAGCCTCTCCGGCAGCTCCGCTCGATAGCTCGAGAGCTCGAGAGCTTGAGACTTCCTTTCAATTTCATCTGGCCAATGGCAGTTTTGGTTGGAAAGGAGGTGGAACGGCAGGCAGAAGGAAAAGATATGTCACCAGGTGGAAGTGCGCATTTAATCCGACCAAAAGTCCTAACATCAACAGCCAAAATGTCGCACAAATTTTACCAAAAACACTCGAACCCCAGGCTTCTACAACTGCCTCTCACTTCAGCTGGCGTCCTTTCAGACCAAAGTGGGTCTTGGATGGTAGAATGAGAGGATCCATGGCGAACATGTGCCGCCTCTAAATAATGAAAATTACTTTCACTAAGAAAAGAAAGAAAAGCGGAAGAAAAATTCGGCAAAATTAAAATGTTGAAAAGTTTTTGGAGGAAAAGGCGACTGCGAGCGGAACTGAAAGGTGGCTAACCCTAGGATTCGCTGGAGCTACATATTTCCCCCATTTCTTGGTAGCAGATTTACGAGGCCCTTCCTCTGCTCCCTCCCTCTCCTCTTCTGGAGGTGCACTTGAAGGCATCTCCCTCTCTCCCTCATAACTCATGATGTTTGGTCCCTACTTGGCCCTAAATCTTGTGTGCTTTTTTATTTATTTTTGTTTTTGTTTTTGTTTTTTTTCTTCTGCAGGGCTTTTAATTATACCCAACGCTCAACCCTCTCCCAGACCCACTCTGAACGGCCTAAAATTAATTTAGCCAAATCATGGGGACTCTTTAGGAGAAGGAGAAAGGGGGGAAAAGCTAAATAGAGCGGAGAGCAGAGAGCAGGGAGCAGGGAAAAGAAAAACTTTTCCTGGACATGTGCGTGACGAAAGAGTCTACGAAATGAGCAGGAAAAGAGCTGGGAAAAATAATAGAATAGAATGTTTTCAGCTAAAACGCACACCCACAAGGGTTAACAGCCTCCATGTGTGGGGCGTGTTCGGTAAAAATCCCTCTTCTCTGCCTTTTTTTATATTTATGGATACTACGTGTTGTAGTGGGCGTGTTATAGGTACCCCATCCCCGGCTGCTTCTGCTGCTGTTCCACCTTCCATTTCTGAATATATGTACCCCTCCCCCCACCCACTGTCGTTTTTAGGGCCAAAGCGACAACATAAAACAGTCGTAAAATTTATTAAGTGACATTTTTGTGTATGTAAAATGGAGCTGGAACCAGCGCTGCAGCGGAGCCCCAAAAAAATAATCATAAGCAAAACCAACAACTGGAAAATGCTATAATAAAAAAATGGAAACACGAGAAAAACATTTGGTGGACAAACGTTAATTGCACGGCAACAAAACGTCATAAAATGTGTAAAAAGACATCAAGGCTTTGGACAAGACAGAGGATCTTGCTGCGAGGAACAAAGCTCTTGATACCGTTGAATGGAACACCTATACTAGTCATATCTGGTCACATTTGCGAGTACGTATCTGGAGTCGAGCCAGTGTAGAGTAGAGTCAGAAGAAGTAGTTTTCCCCGACTTCGACTGATCACAGGACCCAAAACCCGATATTAAATACAAAACATAATTATACACGATTGTCAAAGATTTATTCTTTGCGGAAAATCGGCATACCCCATGCATGGGTATTAAAATTCCCCAAAGAAGAGAGCCCAATTTGGGTTTCGTCTCGTTGCAAAATGGAATTTGTTTTTTGGCA